CAAACTTAATTCCAAACCATCTTCATACGTTTACGTTTCTGGACTTTCTTACAAATTTCTTGACTGTTGGTGTCGAATGTTCACAAAAATACTGCACATTTTTACTTGGTGTTGGAACTTTCTCATTGAGTCCTATGAGTAAAAAAAACAATAGCCTCAAAAATTCCTGCACTTAATTCTTGGTATTAGAATTTTTTTCAGATATAAAAGAAATTCCAAAACAGTAGCTTAAAAAGTTCCAAACCCTTTTGTTTGGTTTCACACCCTTTTAAACAAAGATGCATTTTGGAAAAATTTTGAGAAGGAAACTCAATTTGTTTTGGAAATATATTTCATTCAACAATTAGACATGATATTTAATCTTATAATCATAATTTCAAAATTAAAATACAATTACTTTCTTTTACTTTCTTTCATAATAATAAAATAATTCTAAAAATTGACTTTTTAAAAATAAAATTAAATAATTACATCCTAATCTTTGAAATTAACCTTTTCACATTGTGAATTGAACTTTTATCATCAAATTTAAACCAACAAGATTTAATTAATGGAACAAAAAGTATGCAAAAAAATAAATTTACATTTCTATTAAATTTTAACACATCAAAATTAAGGTCAACTATTTCCTTTTTTTTTTTTTTGACAAAAAAAATGATTAGAAGTTAAGTTAGTATCTGCTCTTGACAAAATTCAAACACTAATCAAAAGTGCAATCTACCGATAATCTTGTTAGGCTGCAGTGGCCATCAAAAAACCACAATAGGGAATGCAACTATTTCCTTCTTGGATATTTGTTGGGAGTAGATTAGAAGACCGTGACTCTTTTTCTGTCTTCTGCGGCTTTGTTGTAGATGATTTGGATTGCTTAACCAACGATGAGGTGTAGGGGGGCCACCCAAGTAGAGTGGATGAGATTTTATGACTATTCCAAGTGCTGATGACAATTTATGGATGAGATTTTATGACTAATCCAAGCGTGCATGAAGATGTCCAATCCAAGTGTGGATGAGATTTTATGACTAATCAAAATGCTGATGACAATTTATGACAAATCCAAGAGTGAATGAGAATGACCAATTTGTGTTGACAACCAGGAGGTGGTAATGAAATTTGAGATGGTAAGAAAAGAAGGATAACTTCGAGCTTTAGTGATCTTCTTTGTATAGAATTGGAAGAGTAGCCTGTTTAGTTGAAAATCAAAGTTGGGGTGGTGGATCTGATTCAATTAGGATTCTGTTTATGGACAAAGGAAAGTGTTGGATAACGTTTGTGTACTGTTTCTGTTTCAGAGACAAAAATCCATTAAAAAAAATGCATGCTGTTAAAGGACAAGATATAGGAATAGAACATACATATATTTATAAAATTTATAAACCACACCAAGTTCACTATTCACCACATCGAAACCGCTGCTTATTCGCTCCACAAAACCGAGAAAACTTAAAAGGAACATGGTACTATTTGGCTACAAATGGGAAAAAAGGGTTTTTGGCTTTGAGAAGCGCCGGAGCCACACCAGTGGATCCATTATCTAATGTTCCATGTAAATTAAGCACCTGAGACCTTGGCCTGATAGCATGTACTCAAATGCTTTGTTGATCTCCGAGAAAGGCACAGAGTGAGTTACAAACTTCTCCAGTCTCTCCAGGTCTAGCTCCTATTGGAATCAAGAAAGAGTAACGTTAGTATTTGTGGGGTTGTTTGGATGTTTGGGGGTGGCTTGGGTTAAACAAGATTAAAGGAAGAGATGTTAGGAACTCACCTTGTTCATGTATTGATCGACAACTTTGGGAATGTCGGTGCGGGGTTTGTAGTTGCCAAAGAAGGTACCCTTGAGAGTCCTCTCATTTAGGAAATTCACTGGACTTGTTTTGAATGCATCATCTTTGCTCGG